GGAGAAACAGAGTGACCTAGCTGGAGGGCTGAGTCGTGAAGAGGATGTGGCGGTTCCTGAGGCTGATAGGCAACAGACCGGACAGAGAGGCAAAGTGATGGTGTGCAAACTGTGGACATGGGCATTGGCTTCGAGCTAATCCCCAAAGGACCAGTAGGAGGCACCAGCCCAGCGGTGAGAGGTGAACCCCTGACAAGCCCCTTGATATTTATTGCAAAGCTCCCTGGTTATTAAGCTTGGCTTTCTCTTCGTGAACTGGGCACTCTCAGGTATTATAATTATTTATTACATGTATGTTCCATAAGTTTGTGAAGTGCTTTACAGAGCACACAGCAGTTCAGCCAGGATCCTGGGCAGAAAAACCATTTCCAGTTGACTCAGATATCTTTATAAGAGAACAAGAAATTCCCTTTGGTCGAGCTGCAAATTCAAATCCCTTTGATCGTTTCCATAGTGGCTGAGACAGGGCTACCCCCTGGATCGGCTCTGAAGCTGCTCACATGGCAGCTGTGGGCTGCTGTAGCAGATGAGAAGCTTTGGCAAATGAGTCCTTCTTGTGAATAATACAGTTCCCTTTTTGCTACAATTTGTAACTAACTGAAAAACACCATGAAAGAGTGAGACCATTCGAGTCAAGGCAAAAACAACTCTCAGCAGACTGTACAGTGATCCATCCCCACTTGGGCACTCTTGGATTATTCGACTCTGTTCTGTTTGTTCACTTAAATTTCTCCATCCAAGCCTAGTAGTAAAGGCTTTTGAAAGTAAGGACTGGCAATTGCCAGGACAGACATAGTTGTAGCATTTCTGGAGTGACCCACCTTGGTTCTGCAGTGAGTACTCTGATCCTTAACTCTCTTTTCTGTTCTTTAACAACTATCCCTCAGCTTTTAAAACAGGAACCAATGGAGTCCAGAGTTCACAAATTTTGTTTCCTTAAGTCAATATTTGTGTTGCTTGGCAGCATTTTTACTCAAAGCTGCTCATGTAAATATTACGTTATTTTCAATTCTGTGAACAGGAAGATTTTTTAAAAGTAATGAATTAGTACAAGGAAAATTCAGGGAAGAATTTCTTCCGAAGTAGGGAATTATCCTCTTCAATTCACTGCACTGGTTATTTCATCCATTCATTTATAAAAGCAATTTCAATGTTTAATTTTTTTTTTCAACCTTTGTTGTTGCGTCTTTTTTTTTTTTTTTTTTTTTTTGAGAAAAAAACAAACTAATTGATTTGATTATTTGTTTTTTACACTCAAATGATAGATCAGCTCCAGAGACCTAAACATGTCTAGGCCTTCCACTCGTGCTTGGGCAAATATTGTTCCATAGGGTGCTGAAAGAGTAACAAAAACAATGCATAATGAACCTGTGGAACTCACTCCCAGAATATATAAAATATATAGTAAAGAGCTTAGTAGCATTACAAAAATCAATAGCTATTTATTAGGAAAAGAATCTATATCCACAGGTAAATTAACTAGGTTAAAATATGTAAGGGATATAAAACTTTTGTGCTTCAGGGCATATGCCAACCATTAACTGTCTGGGGTTAGGCAGAAAATTTGCCCGTAGGACGTTACTGCGTAATTGTCCACAATGAAGGTTTACACCTTCCGCTGATGCATCTGGTATGTACCACTGACTTAGATGGACCATTGTTTTAAAGTGGTATGGTAATTCCTGTGTTTTTATGGGATAGATTGATTTAGCTCTATCCTTATCCTGCATTCCTGGTATGTTCTTCTGTTAAGTTTTGTCTAAAGTGGGAAAATGCTCTATTGCTGACTGCTGTTGTTAGCAATGGAACCCCTTGAAACTGTGCTGAAAATTATTTAACTACTAGTGCAGACTGGACAAGATGGCTATCGGCATCTTTACAGAATGCATGTCCCATCAGGTCTCTGTCAGTTGTCAGTAATGGGGCAGTTTCCAAGTATAGACAGGGCTGTTCAAGAAGTTTAAAGGAAATGCTTGTAATGGTAATTGGTTACTGCTTGTTCAGCTAAGATAAGGAAGGGAAAGGAACTCATACTGAGAGAGGGAGAGAATGGATCATGTAGGGATCAATTTCTCCTATTGCAGGAAAATCAGAAGGTTACTCACCTTATAGTAGTTGCAGTTTTAAGATGTGTGGTCCCTATGGCTATTAATTGTAGGTGCACACATGCTCTGGGTGCCCAGGATTGGAAATTCTTTAATAGCAGTGTCTGTTGGTCCATGCCTGTGCCTCCTTGTGCTTCCATGTGAGGGCATAAAGGGCAGCACAGTCTGACTGCACCCCAGTTCCGACTCTACAGAGAGAGGAAGGAGGGTGGGTTGTGAATACCAGTCAGGACCACACATCTCAAAGACCTGCAGCTACTCTAAGACGAGTAATCTGCCTTTCTTCTTGAAGTGATGGTCCTTACAGTTATTTATTGTGGGTGACTCCCAAGCACTGCTCATTGAGGTGGTGGTGCGAGGAAGTATGCTGTACCACAGAATCGGGGATCACTGAGCAAAGGAGGAATCTGTGGCCAAAGCTTGGACCAGAGCATCATGCCTGGTGAATGTGTAGGGAGCTCCAAGTGACTGCTCTGCATGTCTTTGAGAGGGGAATTCCCTGTAAGGAAGCTAGAGATGCAGCTTGAGCTTTCATAGAATGGGACCTGACAGTTTGAGGAGGAGGGGCTTTCATGATGACACAGCAGAGGTATTCAGATTGGTTAAGGTAAAACTCAGATGGCACCTTAGGTATGAACTTAGGATGTAGGTGTAAAGAAACTTTGTCCTCGTGAAAAATAGTATAAGTTGGGTCTGACATAAGAGGACCAAGATCCCCTATCCTTCTGGCAGAGGTAATAGCCATCAGAAAGGCAACTTTGAAGGACAGGTGCAGGATGGAACAAGGAGCTAAAGGTTCCAAAGGTTGTCCCGTGAGGGCAGAAAGGACAAGGTTGAGGTCCCAGGCAGGGACTGGTTTCAAAACTGGAGAAAATGTCCTTTATGATGACCTTTAGGAACTTTGCAGTAATGGGATGAGTAAAAACAAAGCATCCTTTCACCCGGGAGTGGAAAGTGTCAATAGCTGCCAAACCAGACGTCTTTAGCGAGAGAAAAAATGGCCGTACCAGAGTGATATCTGATGCCTGTGCACATAAGTGATGCTACAGGCACCAACAGGAGAATCGTTTCCATTTTGCGAAGTAGCATTTTTGTGAAGTGGCTCTCCTGCTGTTCTGGAGAATGGCTTGAACTCCCTCAGAGCAGGCTCGCTCTATCCATCGAAAAGTCTCACTGTCAAAAGTAGGGATGCTGGATTGAGCTGGCTCGCCCTGCCCTCATTCCGGGACAGTAGTCCCTGAAATGGCTGCAGGAGGATGCATGGGCAAAAGACTAGTAGTTGTATGGTGGTGAACCAAAACTGCCTTGGCCACCAGGGTGCTATGAGGATCACTGTCACTCTGTCAAGTTAGATCTTCCTGAGAACCTGAGGAAGCAGAAGGGATGGGAGGTATGGCACATATCAGTGGTTTTGACAACTGTACCTGGAATGTGCCCTTGGCAGTCCCGGAACAATAAACTGGACACTTTTTGTTGTGGTGGGTTGAAGAGATCCCAAGATGGGATGCCCTGTTGCTGGGTGAAGTTCCCATTTGTGATCCATGCGGAAATGCCTGCTGAGGCTGGCTGTCCATAAATTCATTAGCCCTGGGATGTGTACAGCTGAGAGGGTGATCCGATGCACTGGTTCCAAAGGCAGATTATGTCTTCAGACAAAGGGGGAAATCTCACTCCTCCCTGCTTGTTTAAATAGTAGATGGTGGTCATGTTGACTGACCTGACATGGACAAGTATGAACAGAATGATGGTGTGACGGGTTCCCCCCCCACCTTCCGGGGTGCCACCTGATGTACTGACGTACCTCTGAGCCCGCCTGTTCCACCAGCCTGGGCTCCCTTATACTATCTTGCCGAGCCAGGCCCTCAAGTCTCCTCCAGCCCACACACAGGTAGGGACACGCCCAGCTGCAGAAAGACACAGACACTGAAATCAGCTCTGCATGGGTAGGCTTCAGCTAGGGAACTGCCCAGCACTCCAGGGCACACCCCCTCTGGAGTGTAAACCCAAAATTATATCGTCTTGCGCTGCACAGGGAACTATACAGCGTACGCTCATGACATTCGCCCCCTCCCTCAGTGTGGAGGAAGATCTGCACAGCTTTTTGTCCCCCACTTATGAATTCCACAAACTGGTTTCAGAGAAAACAAAAACAGGTTTATTAACTACAAAAATAGATTTCAAGTGATTATAAGGGTTAGCAAACAGATCAAAGTAGAGTACCCAGCAAATGAAACAAACATGCAAGCTAAGCTTAATACTAAAGAAACTGGTTACAAGTAGTAATTTCTCACCCTAAATGTTGTTTTAGACAGATTGCAGAGGTTTTTGCAGGCAAACTGCTCTTTCTTGCAGCTTAAAATTCCAGGTAGTTCTTTCACAGGCCAGACACCTCTCCACTCTGGGCTCAGCTCTTCCCCCCAGCCTTGTCTTTGTTTCTTAGATGTTCCCAGCAGTCATCCTGGGTGGGGATTCAGTGAAGAACGAACGCTCATTATGTCACTCCCCTGCCTTAAATAGGTTTTACATATAGCAGGAATCCTTTGATTTTACAGTGTGGTCGGTCCCCCCCCCACCCCACCCCCGTCGAAAAATACTGGTATTCTATCATGGAGTCCAGTACCAGGTGACATGATCACATGACCCTGTAGTGTCAAAGCAGCCATGAGTCAAAGGCTGTTTATAGCATCCCAGGAAGGTAGGAGATTAGCATCTTCAAAGATCTATTGTTCTCCCTAATGGTCCATTGACTGGTCCCCAGCTAGTCAGCCAGACTGATTGCATTCTGTTTGGTGGGCGTTCCCCAGGTGCAAACACTTTTGTAGTACAGATGTATAGTCAATATTCCTAACTTTAGATACAAAAATGATACATGCATACAAATAGGATAATCCTATTCAGTAAATCATAACCTTTCCAATGGTATCTCACAAGACCCATCTTGCAAAAAATACATCTTAGATATTCTATAATCATATTATAACAATATTTCTATGAAGAATATGGGGCGTAGATGGGCAGGAATGTCTTGCATGCTTTGAGAACTGCTCAAAGCCTAAGGTTGATATGTAGTCTGGATTCCTGTGGGGACCAGGAGCCTCAGGCTGTCTGGCCATCGAGATACCCCCATGCTAGTAGGGAGGCATCTGTGACAAGAGTCTTTGTAGGTGGTATGGGAACAAAAGGGACCCCCACACATACTGTCTCTTTCTTTTCCCACCATGTGACCAATGTCAGTATGTCTTCAGGAAGAGAGAGCTTCTTGTCTAGAGAGCTCCTGCTTGGGGCATAGATTGTCCATAACCAGATATGAAGACATCACAGATGCAGGAGTGACACAGGAGAATACCATCATGTAGCCTAACAGAACCAAGCAGATCAGGCTGTAGGAGGAGGGCTGAAATGAAGCTGGCTGATGAGAGCCTTCATGGCTAGGAATCAGTCCAGAGGTAAGTAGGCCCTTGCTGTGAGTAAAGTTCAGGTCTGCTCTAACGAACTGTATGGTTTTCAAGGATGTTAATATGAACTTGTCTAAATTGACTTGAAATCCTAGGGAATGAAAGAATTGAAGTGTGGCTGTGGTAATTGCCTGTATCTTTTGGCAGGACCAACCCGTGAGCAGCCAGTTGTCCAGGTAAGGAAATCTCAGTCTCCCTTATCTGCGGTGACCACCACAAATTTTTTTGTAAATACCGTTAGAGTCACTGAGAGACCAAAAGGGAGTGCCCTGTATTGAAAGTGCTTCTGGCACAGGGACCTTTTGTAAGTTGGGTGAAGGTCCAAATGAAAATGTGTGTCCTTCAAATCAAGGGTCGTAAACCAGACAACTGAGATGAGGGAGGGTAAGATAGAGACCAAGGTGGTCATTCTGAAGTTTCAGTGTCATATAAAGAGAGAACTTAGGAGGGCAGTGGTGCTGGGTGTCTACTCCATTGCATCCTCTGCAACTTCTTGGGAGGTTCATATGTCCTCTGATGGAAAAAGAATGGAGGCGATGAATGATGATGAGGCGGAGGAATCCTACGATACTTTCTCCAGGGTGCCAGAGTAAAAATATCTAAAGAGTGGAGAGTAACACAAAAGTCTTTGAGGGTATGCAGCGACTCATCAGTCTTGTCACTAAATAAGTTGGTAGCCTCAAACAGGAAATTCTCAGCGGTGGTTTGGATCTCTTTGGGGAAACTGGAGGCCTGTAGCAATGAATCTCTTCTCATGACTATCGAAGTAGTCCTAGAGTGCATCAGCCACATCAAGGGGCACCTGGAGGGAAGTTTGTGCAACTAGCTTTCCCTCATCCAGGATGTCCTGGAATTGAGGTCCACATTCTTGAGGGAACTTGTTCACAAATTCTGATAGCTTATTGTAATGTAAAAAGTCATATTTGGACATTAAAGCATGTTAGTTTGCTCTCCAGAATGCTAAGGTAGCCAAGAAAAACAGCTTCCTTCCAAAGATGTGTAGTTGCGTGGTATCTCTGTCCGGGGGAGTGGACTTGGGCTGGTATAGCCGACTTGGTTCTGTAACTATATGCATCACCAGGGAATTGGGGTTAAGGAGGGAAAACAAAAATTCCAGTCCCTTGGGGGGAAAGAAGTAATGCTTCTGAGCCTGCTTTGGGGCTGGGGGCTTGGGTGCAGATGTATGCCAGACTACTCGGGGAGGTTCCATGATAGCCTCATTAATCATGAGTGCCATTTTAAAAAGAGCTGTAGCCTGACATATGTCTAGGAGCTTAAGGGTTGCATTCTGGACCTCCTCCAGAGGAGTCTGGAGAGTGCTGCAATTCTCCCGAGAAGGTCTGCTACTGGTTACAATCATCTGGACGTGAGGGAGACATTGGTGATACTGCCTTGTCTGGAGAGCAGGTGGTGCTGATTGATCCTCCTCCATCAGCTCCTCCCATGGAGATTACTATTTTGCCTTGCTGGGTGAGGAACTCAGGATCCTCATACTCAGATGCCTGGAAGCATGGATCCCAGGAGCTCCATTAAAGTCAATGTGATGGATCAGAGTGGAAGAGAGGTGATCCCCACGCTGGGTACCATTGGTCCCTGGTCTAGAATTACTGTTGACAAGACAGGGAGGTGGAGTTGATCTGGAAGCCATGTCCGGACTGATTGTCCTCTGTTGGCTATCTGAAGGGAATGACAGTACTGACTCATATTTGTCCGGTAGGCCTCCTCGTGTTCTATTATTGGGGCTGGGGGTACCATGGGATCTGTGAGCTCCCATTACTGTTGCGGGGTTTGTTTTTTTTCTGTAGGGGCTCCAGGTATGTCTGTTCCAGGGTACAGCATCTTCTAGCAGTGCTGGAGGAAGGGGCAAAGTGGGCCTCTTTTTTGAGCACATATGAGGGGATTTGTCCTGTTTCTGCTGGGGAAATTTGATCTTGTTTGTTTAGTGTCTCTACTTCATGAGGGTCGTGTATTTGGAAGAGGACTCCAAACTGCTGATACTGGACACTGGCGATGCACCGCCTGATGGTTCCAGGTGAGCGGGAGGGCCCCAGATCTGAATGGAGCCTCATGGAAAGCTACATAAGGCGCTTGTGGAACCTGAAATCTTTTCTGGTACATGGAAGGAATGCATGGCAGATACTACACTTCAAGGGAATGTGAGTTTCCCCAAGGCAGTACAGACAAATTTTGAGGGTTGCTCACTGGGAAAACCCAGGGGCAGGCCAGGCAAGGTTTAAAGCCAGGCACTTTGGGCATAATTGATGCCCTGTAGAAAAAAAGGGGGAATTAGAGGAGGAAGAGCCTCCAATCCCCAAATAACTAACTAGCACTAAAACTAAGCTAACTAAGAATATTATTTTCAATAGTTAGACTCAACAAAGTCGAACATTGACAAGAAGAACAGACACAGGAGGTTCTGTCACAGACTGTGAGCAGTAGAAGAGGAACTGGGGATGTGGGGTTGGTCTGTGCCACCCTTTATGCCCTCACAAGGAGGCACAGGGCATAGGCATTGAGTAACAGACACTGCTGTTAAAGAATTTCCAGTCCCAGATGCACACTGTGTGCACACACTCATAGTGACTACCCATAGGGACCAGTGCTCAAAGAAGAACTTCCTGATATCCAAATATTTTTTTTCCAGTGGAGATTTCTAGGCTGCACAGCGGTTTCTTTCAATGTTCTGCAAGTGACCTGTCATGAAGATGAGGCTGTTTGATAAGTGGCCTTTCAGTAGGAGCTGTTCCAGAACAACCTGGAAAGAGAACTGGAGCTCTCATTCTGTTTAATATAAAATAAAATAACATAATGGAGGGTAACAGATCACTAGGAAATATCATGCCTGCAAACATGCAGATGTGGGGCCAGATTTTTGGCTACTAATGGGTATGTAAATTGGGACAAGTCAATCCACGGAAGTCTCCTAGCGTGTGCCTGCACAGGGGACAGCTAGAATCTTGGTGTTTGCACTCCCAGAACACAAGGTGTGGGAGTATTAGTATAACCAGCAGTGCTAGACACCCCAAAGGGGTTTTGTGTTGCGAGAGTCAGAAGGTTATTACAGATGAGCTCAAGCCATGAAGTTCAGTTTTAAATTTAAATCCCTCTCCACCAAATTTCAAGACTGTTTGAATCTGGGGGTTCGATTTGGCCCATAATAGGATGGGGCTAGCTGCAAAATTTGGATTGGATCTGGATTGTGGTGCTCCTCCCTCCAAAAGTGTGAACTGAGTTTGGTTCTGGAGGGTTGATTCTGGACCATCTGTAATGTTTGTACTGAAAAGTTGGGCTTTATCAGCTGAATAATGTCCAATTAGGTGTATCTATGTAACCTGCCTCCCTCCCCCTCTTCAGAAAATGGACAGAACTATCAAGAAAGGGTTAGGTTCCATCAAAGAACAGCGGGGAGATCCTGGAAGGCATAGAGCCTTCAGAAGATGCTTATTGCCATAGTGGATGGTAGTTTCCACTCAAGAGATGTCACAGAAAAATCACCTGGAGAAGCATAAGCCATCAAAGAGCTCCAGGATTAGGCAGTCCCTGCAGAAGATGCTAGGGGTCTCTGAAGGTGTGACATCTTTCAGGGAATGTTAAGGTGCTCCAAGATAGGTTGATTCCATTTGGCTTATGCCAAGGAGCTCAATGAGAGGGCGTGAGGGGTTGGTCTCCTTTACAAAATGCTACTGAGCTCTGGGGAAAATGAACCCCTGAGAATGTTTCAAAGTTCTAGAATGCTCGTGTCCAATTTGAGGGATGGCAACATTGCATGCCATTCAGTTTGGTGCCTTGTAGAAGGACAGAGAAGGTACAGGGTGGGATGTAACCCCCAGCTATAGTACCTTCACTTATCACAGGTAAAAGATAGTTGCACAGAATGGCCATGCTGGAGTAATTTCTACGTGCAGAAATACTGAGGAGCAGTTGTAGGTGAAGTAAAACTCTTCATATGCTAAAACAGATAGGAATTTAATACAGAACATTTAAGAAAAAGTCTGAGTCACACAATGTGCAGGGGTTTTGCTGCTATTTTATTGCTTTATGATGCCCTGGGTTTAAGGTTTCCACTCGATGACTTTGATGGCGATTTTTGCTGCTCTGCTTACAGCCTCACTGGAGTCATTCAGCTGCCCTCGAAAGAGGTCCACATGGTTCAGTAGTGTCTTGCGACCCTCAGGTGCCTCAGACAGCATGGTCAGGGCTTTGATTGCATTCAAGCGTACTTTGCTGGTTTCATCATCGACCAGCTTCAGTAAAGGTGGAATGGCATCTGCACTAAGGGCTGCATATTTCCCTGAGCAAAAAATAATTAGACTTAAAATTTGTTATTGAATATAATCAAATAACCACTTAACAAGCCTGAACCTGTTAATAAACCATGACCACACACTAGAACGGGAGCTAGCTCGATCTCCACTCTGGTTCTAGATTTTGAACACTTCAATATTTGGTAGTGCTGATGGCTGTTGGTTCAGCCCATCTCTGCTAGAGACCACAATAAACCTCCATTTTTTATTCTTAAGAGAGCAATCCCACTACTTAAGTTAACTCCCCCTACTTTCCACATTTTATTTATTTTACTTTGAAAAGAATCACGTAGCTCTCAAGAGACACCAAATGATAAGAAAAAATTTCTCAGGGCAAATGTCCTCAGGAGCGCCCTCCACTCTTTTCTTTTCTAAGACATTCTGAGTAAATACTTAAATCTACTCCTGTATCATCTTCCAGAGCAAGGGGGGCATTTGCAGTGGTATGCAGAGGAGGACTGAAACACAATTACTGTTATTAAGGATTCTTGTATGTCCAATTACATGTTCAGCACACTGAAAAGTTACCCGTTAGTGTTTTCAAAGTCATGTATCTGACTTTGATGAGAACTCCCCCCCTTCCCCCCCCCCCCGCCCCAGTAGTGGGGAAAATGGTACCTTTTAAACACACACACAAACTACAGGAAAGTAATGGAAAACTTAGGCACTCCTGCTCTCAGCTAAGGATTGCAGGTTCAAAGCATTCCCAGGGCAGTTGCTGGTTGTGGGACTCTGACCTAGCAGCACCTGTGAGGGAGGGTGGTGCTATAACCATTACTTGCCCTCTGCCAGAAAGAATCTTCCCCAGGCACAGGTAGCCCTGACATACATTTCCCTGAGCCAGTGGAGGTGGATCAAACCAACTATATTGCAATACCTAGACACTATGGGTGAACAAAGTAGCTGAGGGACAGACCTAATGAAATGTCCTGTTTCTGCAACAACTTTAGCATTATTTGAACCTAGATTTTTTTAAATTTATCTAAGAAAGTTATGAAATAAAACGGTCAGCTGATCAAATGGCACTAGTCTGATAGCAGAATGAGGAATGCTCTGCTTTACAGGAAGTAGCCCCAGCAGGAGCTGCTTCTCTCACCTTGGGTCGTAGTGGTGGCATTCATCAGGGCTCCTGCTGCATTGGCTCGGACCTCAGGATCTGAATCCTCCAACAGGCTGACCAGCACTGGGATAACCTCTTCATCCCACACAATATTTTTTCCTTCCAGAGGGATACTGAGGAAGAGAGAAGGTTAACGTGCTTTCTTGAACCTATGTCAACAATCAGTACAACTGACTACAGCCTCCTACCATTTCCCCCCTTCATTTCATGACAAGAATGCTGATGCAGAATTCTCTTCTGTTCTGTTTGGAGCCAGATTATTCTGAATGTTAGAGGGCACTTTAAACACCCATACCAGAGTTACAAATCGGACAAGGGAGAGGTCAGTTTGTGGTAGAGTGGTTACTGTTGAAACTACATGCTCAATGCATCGGAAAGATAGGAAGTATGGCAAGAGACCACCCTGGCTTAACCAGGAAATCTTCAATGATCTGAAACTCAAAAAAGAGTCCGACAAATTACAAAGGGTGAACATAAACAAATTACACAAGTATGTAGGGACAAAATTAGGAAGGGCAAGGCACAGAACAAGATTAAACTAGCTAGAGACATAAAGGGTAACAAGAAAACATTCTCCAAATATATTAGAAGCAAAAGGAAGACCAAAGACAGAGTAGGCCCGTTACACAATGGGGGGGGGGAGGGAACAATAACAGAAAATGTGGAAATGGCACAAGTGTTAAATGACTTTTTTGTTTCAATTATCACCAAAAAGGTTGGCAGTGATTGGACATCTAACACAGTAAATGCCAGTGAAAATGAGAAGGATCAGAGGCTAAAATACGTCACCAGGGCCTGATGAAATGCATCCTGGAATACTCAAGGAGCTGACTGAGGAGATATCTGAGCCATTAGCAATTATCTTTGAAAAGTCATGGAAGACGGGAAAGATTCCAGAAGACTGGAAAAGGGCAAATATAGTGTCAATCTATAAAAAGGGAAATAAGGACAACCCGGGGAATTACAGACCAGTCAGCTTAACTTCTGTACCCGGAAAGATAATGGAGCAAATAATTAGGCAATCAATTTGTAAATATCTAGAAGATAATAAGGTGATAAGTAACAGTCAGCATGGATTTGTCAAGAACAAATCATGTCAAACCAACCTGATAGCTTTCTTTGACAGGGTAACAAGCCTTGTGGATGGGGGGAAGCAGTAGACGTGATGTATCTTGATGTTAGTGAAGCTTTTGATACTGTCTCGCATGACCTTCTCATAAACAAACTAGGGAAATGCAATCTAGATGGAGCTACTATAAGATGGATGCATAACTGGTTGGAAAACTGCTCCCAGAGAGTAGTTATCAGTGGTTCACAGTCAAGCTAGAAGGGCATATCAAGTGGGTCCCTCAAGGATCAGTTCTGGGTCCAGTTCTGTTCAATATCTTCATCAGTGATTTAAAGAATGGCATAGAGAGTACACTTATAAAGTTTGCGGATGGGGTTGCAAGTGCTTTGTGTAGGATAGAATTAAAATTGAAAATGATCTCGAGAAATGATCTGAAGTAAATAGGATGAAATTCAATAAAGATAAATGCAAAGTACTTAACTTAGGAAGAAACAATCAGTTGCACACATACAAAATGGGAAATGACTGCCTAGGATGTAGTACTGTGGACAGGGATCTGGGGGTCATAGTGGATCACAAGCTAAATATGAGTGAACAGTGTAACACTATTGGGGGGGGGGGGAAGCAAACATCAATCTGGGATGTATTAGCAGGAATGTTGTAAGCAAGACACAAGAAGTAATGCTTCAGCTTTACTCTGCACTGATTAGGCCTCAACTGGAGTATTGTGTCCAGTTCTGGGGTGCCACACTTCAGGAAAGATGTGGACAAATTGGAGAAAGTACAGAGAAGAGCAACAAAAATTATTACAGTTCTAGAAAACATGACCTATAAGGGGAGATTGAAAACATTGGGTCTGGAGAAGAGAAGACCTGGGGTGGGGGGCATAACAGTTTAAGTACATAAAAGGTTGTTACAAGGAGGAGGGAGAAAAAAATTTCTCCTTAACCTCTGAGGATAGGACAAGAAGCAATGGGCTTAAATTGGAAAAAAAGGCCTTTTAGGTTGGACATTAGGAAAAACTTCCTGTCAGGGTGGGTTAAGCACTGAAATAAATTGCGTAGGAAGGTTGTGGAATCTCCATCATTGGAGATTTTTAAGAGCAGGTTAGACAAACATCTGTCAGGGATGGTCTAGATAATACTTAGTCCTGCCATGAATGCAGGGGACTGGACTAGATGACCTCTCGAGGTCCCTCCTATAATTCTATATAGTAGTATAGCTCATGGAGGTATTTTGGTGATACTAGCAGTGAGCACTGGGGTTGGGTGCCTATATTTCCACAGCCATTTGCCTTTAAAGCCAGAAGCCAAGTGTTCATATTATCTAATACTCTAACTTTTAAATGTGGTGCCTCACAAATAAGATAAAATACAGGGTCCTTGCCTTGATGCAGGCTTGTAGTTGAACTCTTGGGTTTGACTCACTAAAAACTCTTATTGGTGTACTCTGTGGATGATGAATTTAAGACTTAAATAAAGAGCCACAGGATGATTCTGAGTGCACAGATCTCATTTCTTTAAGAGGATCTGCCATATTGTAGCTCCCTATTCAGCATGTGTTTGGGCTGAACTTAGCATGGTAGTTTTTATAAACAATGATGCCATTTCCATGGAAGATTATTATATTGAACTGTATTACATCATAGTGACCAAATATGTTATCCTTCACCATACTGCACGGTTCTATTAACAACAACTTGCATTTATATTGTGTATTTTACTCCAAAGATTGTGAAATGCTTTACCGACTTAACTAACTGATATACAAAGTATACACAGGAATGTTTTGAAATGCAGCCACTCTAGGATAAAATATAGCAACTATTTAACCCAACATAGTAACAAATGACATAAAGTTTATAACAGGAGATGAAGAATGCTGTATCCAACTGAAAATTTAGGTAGGTAAAAAATAATTAGTTTATTTTAACATTCCTCCTCTTGCAAAAAGTTGTTATGGGATCGATCTGGTGATCACAAATTATCAGGATTTTGGTTCTACACTGTCTCAAAACGGTACTTCCAGCAGTGCTGCACTGCTTAGCACCATGCAGGGGCATTAGCTCACTACTAACGTGAGTGGCAGGGGTGGGAGGGAAGAGTGCCATCTACTGAATCGCCAACACCAGAGCAGCTAAGTTCATGTACACATCTAGCCTGATGTTACTTTGCAATGTGAGATGTGACAAGTTTAAAGTGTAAGGTGGTACTCCTGCAAACTAGTGCCCGGGACTCAATCAGTAGACAGATATTGTCTTGGAACAACCCATGTGCATAGTCCTTTCTTTCCCTTACCTAATTCCCAAGAGGGCACGGGCAGCTTTGCTCCTGATGGCCACTGATGGATGAGTGAGCTTTTCCTTCAGAATGGGAACAGCGCCTGTTGCAAGAGCTTCAAAAGCCTCTACACATAGGCAGCCAGAGAGTGTGTCCAGTATCAACTCTTGGATTTCATCCAGCTCAGTTTTCAGTTTAAGGACAAGTGAAGAAATCAAACTGCTTTCCACTATGCCAACAGCACCTGCAGGCAGAGACAGAAAGGAAACTTGGACTGAAAGTGCTAAGGCATTTAATGCTTCAATCAACATTTTGAAATTTGCTACCACGATTAAAATGACCCAGCTATTTCTGTCCCCATAATAGTGTGGTGTTAAGAGAGATGGAGACTGTTGTAACTGTGGACACTTTACTAGCACTCCTCCAACATTTCCCCAGGATTTATTTGGCAAATTTCACCTCTATTTGCAAACTGTAAGCAGTTTATAGTTTCCTCAAATGTATTCTCTTGCAGAGTCATTCCCTTCAACCTTATTCTGTCCAGTATCATTTGCTAAGAGAGGCAACAAATTATCTACTGCCACAGCTCATGCTTGTTCCTACAATGATTTCAACCCAGGTGAGGCTCAAGTTAACAGTTGCTCTGATGTTCCCAATATCCACAAGTGCAATATTTTGTCCCTATAATAACTCCTGCTGAGAGATTACAGGAGTGGAATAGCGGTGTGCTCCCTGTCACGGAGTGTGGGGGGACACAAGGCTCTGCACCTCCGGCTTCCTGCGATTTACCATGACTCTCAGCCAGCCAGTAAAGCAGAAGGTTTATTTAGACGACAGGAACACAGTCCAAGACAGGTCTTGCAGGCACAGACAACAGGATCCCCCCCAGTTAGGTCCATCTTGGGGTCCCAGGGCACCACAGCCCCCTTGGGAGGTCAGAGCCCTGTCTGCCTCCCAGCCATTCCACCAGCCAGCTCCTGAAACTCTCCCTTCAGCGACCCCTCCCACAGCCTTTGTTCAGTTTCCCGGGCAGAGGTGTCACCTGGCCTCTAACCCCTTCCTGGGTTCTCACGTTACATGCTCGGGTATCTTCCCTCAAGGCCAGTCTCCCATCCCCCAATGCAGACCATCCTAGCCAACCTCCCCTGCCTTCCCAGCCAACACTCCCCACTCAGCATTCAAAGACCAAATTAAGAACAGTCCCAGTTTGTCACACTCCCTTACACCATTCCTTACAATGATTTATACTGGGAGAAACAGGGGGTTTGAGCTTCCTAGCAGTCAGCACTTCACTATTTCCTAGAAAGAATAATCTTGCTGGGCTACAGCACAGCTGCGAGGGCTGAGTGGCTTACTCTTAAGTGTTCCATTTCTTAGACAATACTAAGCCAACATTGAAACAGCATTGCCATGGAAAAGTGAAAGCAGAAGAGAACACATTGTCCACCAGTAACTATGTGGAAACAAAATCCTCAGCGTCTGGTTGCTAAGACAATTCTTTGGTTACTAAGAGAAAAGTGGCTCCATTTGAATTGATTCATATGTAGTTGAACAAGGAAGTTCAGTGTATGAAAAGCAACAAGGCTACTTAAAAGCAATCTCCTTATTCAGGGATAAAGGGATCTTTCCCCCAAGTACAGCTAGAAAAGGATTTCAATGACCCTTTGGTAACCCATGGGAAAAATTCCCTGAGTTCACAGTCAAGCCTATGACTACTATGGCCCTTTATCAATGTATAGAACCGAATAACCTCTACTCTACTTCTGAGGTTTCGCTGACATTGAGTAATTTCATATGTCATTAGCTTACTGGGCTTTCCTCTCCTAATGCAGAAGCAGCCGTGACAGTGATGTTATTAAAGCTTTTGCTACATTTGGAAACCAGTTGCTGTAAGAGTACAAAAACCATCAAGTTGGGAAAAATGAAAATTGGAATCACAAAAATTATAGGCTACAAATAAGTGATGTTTTAAGCTGAGAACTGTGTATTGTGACAGGACAGTGATGTGGGGAGAGCATATACATGTCTTCTGTAATGCCATAGATCAGTGTGACTGCACTGGGGAGTCATGTTGCCAAGGCATGATATTGTAATTAAGCATGATTTCCATTTTCCTTTCTTTAATCAATTTTCTCTTTCTTTTTCAGGCACGAGGAGAAAGAAACTCATGACCAGATTCTGGCCCCATGTTCCATCCCATTTGTGTTGCTTTGATGGAACAAAAGGGATGATTGGCTTCTCTAATGGGCCAGCTAGAGATTCTCCTCATAAAGGAATAAAGTCTGTATTGCTGACTCTCACTGATTTTTGGCTCCTTTGTCATAGCGCTGTGCTGGGGTGGGCTGGAAAACAGTGGGGATATAGCAGGGAGTGCTTTGTGTGCCAAGAACCCCTGGCTGGCAGCATGGTCCCTAGAGAACTGAGCCTGCAGGAATAACTGAGAACAGCCTAAATTATAACCTGGGGCTGACCTACCCATATTTCCCCCACTGGTCTGATCCCAAGAATCTGCCTCCACATGTTTTGAAGGTCTTTTGAAGTAAGTTGTATAGTGAGAGAGAAACTTTCAAAAACCAGCCTTTAAAACTGCTCCCATAGTTGTTCATGAGAAAAATCTCCCCATAAGCCCACTGGCACGTAAGACTAGGATAGCCAAAAACTTCCTACTATTTGCAAATGTAGGTCTGCCATGCAAATAATTGTATGTGCAAAATTGGGGGTTTCAATGTCAGAGGAGGAGTTGACCTGCAAGCAGATGGTTCCTGCAGCATCCATCTACTTCCTGTAGACCTGCTGTGATAGCTACTCTGTGATATTTTCAAACAGAAAGCACATTTGGACAACTTGACCTTAAAGTAATTTTATTCTTCCCTGCTAAGATGGCATGCTGAATGCAAACGTAAAAATAAACACAAATAGTGGGAAGTTAAAAGCTCTACATTCCTCCTGCTTCCAGGCCCAGTGTGTAGTTTTCATACTGCTGTTCCTCAGGCAAGGGTCACAAGCTAGGCATTAACAGTTCATAAGACAAATATGCTTCTCATATAGCACACTCAGCTCTGATCGAAGCCAAGATAAGCAATCGCTCGCTTTCATTTTCCTTCGGTCTGTTATTACTTTTCTCTTAACTCTTTTTCTCTCCATGCCTATTTTCTGTTTGTCTTTGTCCATTCATCAACTCTTCTTAATCCCTTTTTGCCAAACATTTGCCATGCATCTCTTTCTGCCTCGTGCTGGCCCAGCATCTTTTCTCTCCTGTTTGTCTCTCTCACGCCTGCCTTCTCGAATGCTAGCCTAGCGCTCTTGCTATCTCCACTACCATTGCTCTTCCTGCAACCATACATATGTGTCTTTTGCTGCATCTCAAAATTAATGGCCCATGTCTCTGTTTGCATCCTTCATCGTTTCATGTGGCATTGATCTGTTTGACTGTTTGCCCCATTTTCATTGGCTTTTGAGTTTGTTTCTGCCAGTTAACGTTTATTGAGCTTCTTTGACTCAGTCATTTTTCCTCTTCATGTCTTACCATTGGTGGAGGCCCTTGCTATTGAGGCTCTGAGTGCAAAATATGTGTCACACCCAGCCATCTTGTCTCCTTCTGTTACAGTGAATTGGCTGGGGTTGTACAGAGCATCTTACATAGTGCCAATAGTGGGCTTTGTGCTTGACAAACTAAGTAGGAACACAGGGTCTCTCCCTAAAAGAATCTACAATCTGCTGAAAGAGGCTGCTGGCTGGACTGTAACAAGAAACAATGACTGAGTTGAGGAATCACAGCAAGTTCCATGATTTCTGTTTAGATGTTTTTTTTTTTTTAATATTTCATTTCACCTATTTAGTTGACCCTACTTTTGTGCAAGCACTTTGGCTCTTTTCACTGCTAACATTCATCTGCTGTGTCAGGTGTTCTGTGATGGGGGTTCAGTCTCTGCTCTAGCTGCTGGAAGCATAAACATGCATCCCTAATAAGTCTCAAACTTAGCATCTCTTTTTTGTGTCATATAGAGTCAGTAAGCCTTATCCGTAACTGCAACGTCACGTCTATGACATCACCAGCATTCTAGATTAGGAGCAACCTATTTTCAGGGCAGTTGTGTGACTAGCAACATAGATTAAATGCATGCAGTAGCTCAGTGCTTCTCCAGTATTTCCTTTCTGCAGGCCAGTTTGTAAAGGAGTGATCCTCTCTGTGCTTCTCCCATCACAACGCCCTGATCCACCACTTTGTGGTTCTCAAAATGTTTCATTCATTGGACCACTGGGAAGAATTGACCACTGGCAGTCCATAAAACACAGTTTGAAAGTCCCATATTAGCTAATGTAATTTTAAGATTGAGAATGCAGGGTCCTCCACTCTCCCCCAAAAGATATGTCAATGAGTAGATAAAGGATAGCAGTATTCTTGAACTAGACTAAAATTTCCATCCAGGGTGTTTGGAGCAGTGGATAGGTCCACCAAAAGTGAAAAAGAGCCCACCTGTGTGCACCACTTCCAACATCTAGCTAAATATGTTCAACCTTCTTACTGAAGAGAGAGACTCTATAATCATCCCTTGAAATGTCAAACTAATTCTCTTTTAAATTAAGATCCAAATCTGTGATCTGTTTTACAGTAAAGTTGTCTTAGAAAGAAAGTCTGTCTGTCTCCAAGAATACTTAGAAAACAAAAATAATCTTTTGTCTGAAAGTTCTCAGCCAGGCAGAAAGGAATACACTTTAGGGTTTCCACATTAAAAAATAGATCCTAGATTACATTTTTACATAGGAATTACACACTAGATCACACCAATGATCCATCAAATTGAGCATCCTATCACTGACAGTGGTCAGTACCAGATGCTTCAGGGAAGGGCACAAAAAAACTCTTGTGAAAAATTATGGAACATCTGTTTTTTCCCAGCCCTGTCAGTTAGTGGTTGGCTTATGCCCTGAAGCATGAGCATTTTATCTTTTATGATACAAATTTTCATCCTGTCTCATTTAACTCAATGTTCACCATCCATATAAATGTCTAATCTCTTCTTCTAAGATCTTAGCTTCAACTGTATATATTGGATGATCATAAATTAGGAAACATCTTATAGTGTATGCAAAATAATTTAATTTATTTTGTTCAGAAGAAAATGTTGTTTGGCCTACAGGTACGTGTTTGGGATAATTCACTTACTAATTGCAATGTGATCCTCACATGTTTATGAACTCCCTCCACTGTGAAGATCTTTCTAAAAAACAACATGAAGGCAG